CCCCAAAACCCCAAAACCCCAAAACCCCAAAACCCCAAGATTTAGATTGAGTTGTTTGGATTGAGAATAGAATATTAAAATTGATTAGTTCAAAATTTAAATGGCTGAAAAGGAAAACACCATGATCTCTTTGCTTAAAGACAAAGCCAAAGAGAATAAATCTCTCAATAAAAAACTTAAAAAGCTGGAGGAGAAGTATGTAGATATACACAAATAGCATAAGGGCTTGATTCAAGATAGAGAGGCATTTATTGCATTTTTACACATGGTATTCCCCTAAAACTACCTTGATGAATTGCTTCTACCTGATGACTAGTTTGGTCTATATGATATAGATCATATTAAATCATTTTGGACATTAATGAAGAGTCAAAACGACACAGAGAGCACCCATATAATTGAGATCATGAAGGAGGAGAAGAAAGTTATGTATTAAAAAATTTCACAATATGAGCGAGAAATATCTGATAAGGAGGATTCTTAAAGGAAGATCTAGGAACTGGAAGGATAGATAGCTAAACTCATGGATGAATTAGAGGAGACCAGTATAAATATTCAAAGGAGAGATTAAAAGATATTTGAATTGGAAGAGAAAATAAAGACAAGTGAGGGAAGTAATGATCGCATCAAGGAACTTGAAAGAGAATGTGCTGAAATGAAGGCCTCTCAACTTATGAATATGTTTGGGTCTGCAGGAAGTAAGGCCTCTAATTCAAAGCAATTTGAGCGATAATTAGAATCTATGAAAGTGTAACTATCGGAGAAGACAAATGAGATTTTGAGAATTAGAGATGAAAATGAATAGCTTAGCGCATAAATAGATGAGCTATAATAGAAATAAACAGAGAGCTTATCGTTTACTAATGCGATGGCATAAGATGATTTTCTTAATAATAGATAAACTGATGAGCCTTTGAAATAACTACCTGGAAGAGTTTCTAATTTATCACAATCGAATTCCTTGCTGGAACACTCAATGGAACTAGAAGACCCTAAATACAGATTGATAGAGCAAACTCTTAGAGAAAGAGATGAGGAAGTTGAAAAACTATAGAACTATAATTAAGAACTAGATAGTAAACTTCAATAACTATTGGGTGAATTCTCCTAGTTTAGAAATAAAGCTCAGTAAATGCTAACTTCCAAAGATGAAGAGCTGGATAAATTTAAGGGAAGATCGAATTTAACTATTGAAAGTCTTCAGCAGCTATCATCAGGATAGAAAAACAAAAATTCTCCTGATAGTAATAAGTATCACTAAAACTACTATGAAGAAAATGGTTATGAGAGCAGTGCTAGCACCTATATGAGAAGATTACAAGGCTAAGATAAAGACAAATTATCAAAAGAAACTCTAAATACAGATTACATTAAAAATGTCTTTTTCAAATATCTCGAATACTAAGCTAACTATAATGAGAAAGAAGCAATGACGATGGAAAAAGTACTCTTTACAGTCTTAAAAGCATCAGAAAAGGATATAGAAAAACTAGAGAAAGCAAGATAAAAAAATACAGGAGGCATCTTTAGCTATTTCTATTCCAATGGGGCAAGTTCAACTGTGCCAAGACCAGTCTAGCCCAGACTATCAACACAAGAACTCAGTTATGAGGACGCTTAAAGTCCAATCAGAAAATTTAATAGCCATAATGGAGCAATAAAAGTTAATGAATTTGGGTAGGGCTTGGGTCTTTAAAATGAAAAGGTGTTACAGAATGCAACTATCGACTAAAATCCTAAAAATGATAATCGAAAGTACTTCAACATAAATATATCAAATTGATGGAAGGACACTTAAATTGAAGCTAATTTTAGAAAAGCTGGTTGCATCTAGTTACTTATTTAACTTAATTTAGTTCATGAAATTAAATAGTTATTAATCAAATATCACTTAGCGATTCAAAAGCCTTTCATTTTTTCTCATTAAGAGCATTTAAAAGCTCTTAAATTTCATTTATTTTTTACTGATTCACCTCAAGTTCTTGAACTGCATGAGCTCTTTATTCTAATCCGATGGTGTAATTTTATAGATTTTAATTTTCATTATAACTTTGCTAGTAGGTTTACTTATGAAACTCTTGCTCATTTTTCTATTGAAGCATTTGAGAACCTAGTTTATTTTAATCAATAAAGCATAAAGTTCTTTGAATCTTTTACATCTCTAAGTCTATTGCTTCTTGCTTTTTTTATTCTTCAAGCTCTTTTTGCTATCTTTCCTCCTGACTTGAGAAAGCCCACTCATAGAATTCATCTGCTACTTTAATGTAGTTTCTATAGTCATTGTATAATATGTTTGGCTTCTATACATTTAGGTTTATTTCTTCTCCATATTTGTTCAATATTCTGATAATATCGCAGTTCCTCATCATCCTTAAAATAGTTCTATCTTCAAATGAAACTTTTATAGATTTGTTTGAGTATGCTTAAAAGTGACCCAACCCTTCCATATGCATTTCTTTAAGTATTATGTTATCTTAACTAGCCATTAGTGAAGCTTTTGATAAATGGTCTTCCTCAGGTTTTGTTTCTTTTACATAAAGTGGATTTGGCTCATACAGTTGCTTCAGAATTACAAAAGGATGAGCTAGTATTTCTTAAAGTTATAATCTGGGATGATTAATTGGATCTATTGAATCAACAACAGAAAATGGTATTGTCTCACAAGTAAATTGCCTTAGAGGAGGTTCTAAATTATTATTTTATTTAAGGTGGCTTATGTATTAGCCGTTTTCTCTCAAAAGTAAGATAGATTCATCTTGATGAACTTACACTTGAATAATATTGCCATCAGATGATACTCTAGTTGTAGATAGAGTATTCCATTATATTGCAACATTCTTCTTATGTGAATGTAAAAAAGAAGCTGGAGATATATCATCATTCGACCAGACGGTAATTTTATTATTTTTATCTAATAATTCTTAAACACTCCTTTATGAGTCCCATTTACTCATAGAGCTCATCTAAGATATATTAGTTCGATTTAAGTTAGTCTGGGAAAGCATACTCTTTATCTATGGTAGATTTGAATCATTCTGTTCATCCTCTTCATCTATTTCATCAATTACTTTTCTCTGAATAGGTAAATATGTAGAGTATTCTTTATTTCTCACTAATTCTGTGAAACAACATGTTTATATATCCCCATGGAAATTTCTACAATATACTGGCTCGTATAATTGACATGAGTTTTCGTCTTTTCGCAGCAATAAATGCTCCTTATACTACATCAATAGTTATACAGGGTAGCACCACCTTGATGGGAATCTAAAAATTGAAAATATCTGATTTATTCTAACATAATCATATGCCATCTTCATTCTACGAGAATCCTTTTAGTTTAATTTATCAGATGTTATATTCTTTATAGTAGACTCATCAAAGGTGACCCCTAAATTTACCCATGTTGGCTTTTTAAAGGGTAGTAATTGCTGATATTTAACGCTTAACTAGAAACCATTTGCTGAAAGAGTGATTGAAGCTAAGTCTTCATCAACTGATCTTAATGTTAAATTTCCATCTTAATCTTCTGTCAAGAAGTCCTCCCAGTTTTCGATACCTGGCCAGATTACTTAAGTATACTTCTAAAATTTTTACTGTCTCTCATAGACTTATCGAACCTAATCTTTTTCCCTAATAGTTAGAATCTCTTCTCTTGAAAGTATTGGCTCATCACAAAAAGTATTATGATATTGAATTGCTAAAACTAACTTATCTAATACTCCCATTCCTCTATCATCTTTGTGGGTGCTCTGAACAGCAAACTTAACTAACTAACGAGTCTTCTTCCCATCCTTAGAAAAATATGTAAAGCAGTCGCCTTTTGGATGCAAAATAATTGCAGATTTATCGTCAAAAACAAAATGCGATCGCCCATCCTCATAGGTAAGAGCATGCTCAATAATGAGCTTGTCCTTATTTTTCTCCTTCATCAAAGATATCTGATCAAATTTCTCAATTAGTTGAACTCTGTCTATCGAGGAGGTATAGTCACTGGTTGCTAATATATTTTTAGTATGGCTAAGAAAAATATGATCTTAAGGTTTTGTGTTTGACCTTTGAGATAATACCACAGGATCAACTTTAAGCTCATGGTTAAAGTAACTAGGTTGGTATTTGACGTCTGATTAGAATATTTGCTAGTCTGAATTTTGCATACTAAACTCTCTTCTTTGGGATTAGGGAGTTTATGAAAGTCCATCATAGTTTTGTAGTTTCATTTTGAATTCAAATTATTAATTCTTCGATAAATAATTACTTCTCCACCTTTGTATCGTTATGTTATCTTAAGGGGTTTTGGGGTTTTGGGGTTTTGGGG